TTGTCCAGACGGGTTCAATCGACGATACGACAGAGTTTGTCAGGGTAGGCATACTTTTTCAAAGTATATAGTAACTACCTCAAACAGTAAAATTCCTAGTCATGTCTCATCATTTAGTTTAGAAAACGCATATGTATATGCATAGTAAATAACAAAAAAAACATAATATGAAATTGAAGAAAAGGTGTTTTATATAATTATATGCATATTATAATATGCGAGAGATTACAGGTTCTATTCCCACCAGAGACCTCTTTTTTCATACAATAATAAGGAACTTTCGTTGAATTATGTTTGATACGATTTTATAACATCATGTTCCTATATATTTGAGCACTGTATTATTGTATTACTTGATTTATACATAAGGTGTTTTCTTTACACTTTCAGACGTCGACGAATGCAGTGATGTCTCAATTTGTCAAATAAACTCATCCTGTCGTAACACACTTGGTTCGTATGTGTGTCTGTGTGATTCTGGATTCGTTGCTAGCTTTGACGGGGACACATGTGAAGGTAAATGCATTAATGATAATAATGACAGCAATATTGATGATGACAATGAAGATGAATATGGTGGTGGTGTGGTGTTGATGATGTTGATGAAAATCAGGCCAGTAACCACGGGTTGTTTCTATGGTTTTGAGCGAACCGCGTCTAAACAAAACCACATCAGACTCCTTACATGTGCATCAAAGTCATTAACATGTATGTTTCCATAGAAAATTGCCTTAAGAACTCGTTAAGGGACTGATAATCAGCGGCGTAACGCCTATGGGCTCCCGTGCGGCGGTCCGCAGGGCCACCACCCACAGGGGCCCCACCCATATGGTCCTCGACCTATCACCCTGACCAAAAATGGCTCTGTTGGTACATAACAGCATAATGTGTGTGTCTCTGACATCGACTGTAGGACATATATCCAGTGCGGCGGATTAAAGGGCGCCCTGCCGGCCAGGGGCCCCACTAAATTTGTCAGTTTTTTTTAATGTGATAAAAAAAAATTATATTTACAATTTTAAGTCCGTGAGCGCCACAATCATGAATTTTATTACCTCAGCCCCAACCATAGTAGGGCTGTGGTGGTAGAACCTCCATCTGAAAGTTCCTCCCTAGTCCCCCTCTATTTCAAATTACTGGATCCACCACTGATATCAAATCATTTACCCTGGACCCTGATTAAAAAATATCCCTGGTATGGTTTACGAGAGAGTTTTTAGCGCTTAGTATTGTCCAAATTGTGCTTTCAGACAAAGATAATAAATAGCAGAAGATAGAGCAGCTTCCCAATATAGTGGAACATCCGTTCAAAAGGCATTGTGGGTACACGGAGAGCAATTTTACTGCAACCGCGCGGCGGCGCTATATAAAAATAATAAAGGCGCTGCTCTTGTTCGCTTGTTTACTTTAGTTTCTCCACTTAGTAAAATGTTCAAATTTTACTGCAACCGCAGGAGGGCGAATGTTCCATCGATTTTAATGCAAATACGCGGAGCAGCTCATTCTTCAGCTATTTAAGTTCTTTGTTTCAGACCACAACAATTTTGGGATTGACAATTAAAATAACGTTATTTGAATAGGCAAATCATTTTTTTTAAATTATTTTTGATCCGACGACATCGTCGTGGCGTCGAACCACAGGGGTACAGGCCTGTCCAACGAGGAAAAAATTCCCCTTCCCCCTCCCCGCTGGCGCCACCAATGAAAGGCCGCCAGTCTCAGAAGGCCACAGGGCCCCCGACCCCATCGTTATACGCCACTGCTGATAAGAGCATGAAGTTGCCCCAATGCCTGTGTGTGTGACATACACCCATTGTAAAAATACAATACAATATATTGTACAATGTCAATCTCATTCATTGGTCAAAACATGTATAATACAATGTGGAAATTTGATTTCTATTGACGTTAAAATACAGTACAGATCAAAGACCAAATCAATATCGTTTAACCATTTGTTAATATCAGTTATAATAGATTATCTTTTATTTTACAGATGTCAATGAATGCGAATATACCGAACTACTCACCTTTCTTTGTGGTGAGCATTCGACCTGTGAAAACACACCTGGCTCCTACATCTGTGGTTGTATTGAAGGATTTGTCTCCAATGCTGGATTTTGTCAAGGTGTAGTACACCTTTGACTTTTAATTGAACTTAGCAAATGACCAATTAAGAAACGTGTGTCCAGGTCGTAACTAAGGGAGGTCGGCCGAACCCAAATTTTAACAGTTTACTACTGTATTTAATCATAACCTTTTCTATTAAAGAAACACTTCTGGTTCTGGTGGTGGGTAAAGGTCGACATCCAAAGGACTCCAAAAATTATACATCAAAATCGATTATTTTTGGAATTACTAAATTGTTTTACAATTTAATGAATTTTAACTTCTTATTTTTTATAATAATGAAAAAAAAACATTTTTTTTTTAATGGAGGCTTTAACTTCGACAAAAGTATTACATTTTTTCGCATGCATATATTTGTTAATTTTATTTAATATGAAGTGTATTATAGACTAAAGATGAAAAAATAATTGAAAACAATGAAAATGAATGAAGGTAAAGGTGGGGGACTGCCATGAAAGACAAAAAAAAAATGAAACGTCGGTATGCTCAAGTATTGAGTAATAATAAAAAGGCATTATTTCACTGTATCATCAGGTCTTCGCTGATGAGTAGAGTCCGAAACATTGTGCTAGTTAACTCACGAAATGAGGCTGCGTGAAAAAGTTACCGCCAGCATAGTTGCATGTAGTGCCTGCGTTTCTTGACATTTACGCCATTTTCATAAATAATAATAATAATAATAATAATAATAATAATAATAATAATAATAATAATAGTAATAATAATAATAAATAATTATTCTAGTCTCATTGTGTTTAGATATTGATGAATGTGCAACAGACGCGTCCTGTGGTTCAAATGCAACGTGTTTGAACACGATTGGAAGTTTCAAATGCGTATGTAATGACGGTTACCAGGAGACAACTTTCGGATGTAAAGGTAATCATGTATTTAAGTGACCTCATGTCATAGAATGCAATAAAATAGGCCTTACAAATTAATACAGATGACAGTAAAATCAACATTTTTACTTACATGTTCTTAATCTTTTTCAATATAAAGTACGATGTGTAATCGTATGGTGAGGTTTGTTATGATCCAACAAACGTTCTTCGGATAAAAGCGTTGATCCCTTCTTTTAAAGTTCACCTTTTGGCAATGTTTTTCCAACTAATACTACACATTTTATACCGATTAGTTGATGTTGTCGACAATGGTGTTTAAAGATGTTAATGCGACAGTAATATGTCGAATTGAGTATGTCTACTGTATTGTTTAGAAAATGATTTTTAAAAATCAACAATCTTACTTATTGTAGAGTTATTCATGTGAGTCGTTCACACATAGAATATTGGTGATCATTTTCTTTAGTTCCAAATTTGTCTCAGATAATAGCGACACAGTAGACCTACTCTAATGATAAACCCATACTATATCAGAATTTTACAGCACATGGCATAGTCCGATCATTTGACAGTAGATCTATAAATAACATGGATACAATTATCTATACTATATATGTGCACTTTCAGACATTGACGAATGTACCAGCGCTGATTCTCTAATGTGCCCAGGCGTCAGTGTCTGTCAAAACGTTCCTGGTTCATACACATGCATCTGTCCTCCAGGGTATGCAGGCAACGGTTCAGTGTGTACAGGTATGACGTCATGATAAATGTATTATGTCATTATGGGTGTGGTATTCTTTGTTATTAATACAGTCTTCGTGTTGCAAATCTTATATCTCACTCAAATTTTGGTAACTTTATACTTAATACGTCAGTGCAATTGAACAAAATTTACAAGAAAAATTGGATAAGATGAGGTTTTATCTATAACGAATCTCAGTATTAATAAATAACCAAAAATGTACGATATAATACATAAATTGTGACGCCATTTACGACAATGGCAACTAAACGACAAAGGGTAAGTATTCGAAAGTTTGTTTTTTAAATTAGGAGGTGAAATATAATAAGGTATCTTTAATATTCACGAAATTTATTAGAAATCAATAAAGTGTAATTGTTATGATATTTACATTGGCATAATAATATGAGTTATGAAACACACGCATGTCCCACAACATACACGTTCACGTTATTTCGTAGAATGTCGTTTTGTTGGAATTTGCAAGGATATCCAAGGGGCGGGGCTAGCGAAAAGGTTCGTTGCTATATGTTTTGTAATCATGCGCTCTACAAAATACACAGCTGTAATTACAATTACTAAATGTGTTTTTGTGATTCCATAAAATCGCTACACGCTATCACAAAAAGCTTTCTGGTTGGTCGAATCTCCGGTGCCTTCCGATCGCGTCGGGAACAGCTACGCTTTGTAATGATTGCACTAAAATCGTTGTACTGACATGTGGTACAAATGTTGTGGAAACAGGCTTTACTTGCGTATTTAACGTTCTCTTCCACAGACGTCAACGAATGTGCGTTATCACATGAATGTCATGAGTATGCACGTTGCTATAATGTGGAAGGATCATACGTTTGTCAGTGTACAAGAGGCTTCCGTGGCAATGGCAAGAACTGTTACGGTAAATAATACATTTGCTTATTGTCGATATCCGGAAGCCCTCCTTTTGAATCACTTCGTGGATTGGGAGGTGTAAAATATGTTCATTTTATGTTATGAAAGTCACAAATGTGCCTCACGGACTTTGGCTTTCTTTGTTTAGCCTGTTTAGGGGATGCACTCAACGAGAGCAAAGTAAATGTGGTCGGGCGTCGCTCAAAATATTTCGAAAGTGGTCCAGGGGAAAAATATGACAATTAGGCTACTTCATACAAGAACATCCCAGAACCAAATATCATAAAAGATGATGGTGTGATCACTAGCCAATAGGAAACTGGAAATTTGAAATATGTGCGTGTGAATGTTAATGATGGATACGCGCTCAACTTGCTAACCGATAACGCTCGCTAACCGGTGTTAGCGTATTCGCTAACCGATCAGGTGTTCTCACACTGGGGTGGTCTGTCCCCGGCCCCCTGCTAGCGCCACCCCACCTGCTGGAAATGGAATTCTTTTACAAAGGTAAAATATCTAATGTGGGCAGAATTCATTCATTCACGGAAAATTGCTTCCACACCTTCTTACTCTGAATGGAATGGAGATGTCGAATTGGCTTTAAACGGTACGTGCAGATAGGAGGAGCGAATTCAATAATAGTAACGGTCGTGGTCTCTGGGAGACTGGTAGGCCTGCAGCATAGACGGAATCCAAGGGGGAGGGGGGCAGCCGGCCCGGGGCAACCCCTACATTTGTAAAAATTTGAAAAAAGAAAATTCGACTAAGATTTTGAATCTAGGAATGCCATTTCCGGTCACCTAGAGGTGCCATAATCATAAATGTTCTTACCTCTGCTCCAACCATGGTGGGGTGAGGTAGTATAGACCCTTCACCTCTGAAAGTCTCTCGGGCCCTCCTCTATTCCAAATTCCTGGATCCGCCACTGTGCAGTATGTAATGAATTAACCGTAGCTAGCAATTCTACTTCTGCCTAAAGCAAGATTGTCACACTGTTATATATTTTTTTTAATTGACAATAGATTTGAATGAGTGTAACGTTGGTAACGGTGGATGCGACCAGGTGTGTATTAACATCCCTGGTAGATATGTATGCCGATGTAGTATTGGGTATCGAATGAATATTGCTAGTAATAGTTGTGAAGGTACGGTACATTTATTATTAATTATAATGTGTTACAGCTGTAATTATTATGACTATTACCGTCTCTATTACCATCAACATCATCATCATCAACGACAACAACAATACGATCATGGTCCCTTACATGATCATCATCATATTTTCAAAAGGCATAGAAAGAGAAATTTGTAAGTGAAGTAAGCGTAATTCATGATTGATTGACTTTTTTCACGGTATATAGACATTGATGAATGCTCTCGATTTAAGGACTTGTGTAATCAGACGTGTATTAATACAGAGGGATCATTCATGTGTGCGTGCGAAGATGGATTTCAACTAAGTGTGAATGATCGAGATTGCGTTGGTAAGTTGAGATCAGGATGGCATTAGTCCAGTCAATCTACGAAAAAAAGGGTCAACTCGGAACAAATTGCAGTAGTAATGAAAATAATTGTTTTCAACTGAGAATTTATTGAGGTATAACATACAAAAAATCATTAGGTTGGTAAGCTCTATTCTCACTAACCTACGGAGACCCGATTATCTATAAATTGCAACATAATACTGCGTTTCCTATACGTAGGCTACACCCATTGCTTAACAATGGGCTGAAAAAGGAGCTTTATTTGTTTTTGAAGGTAGCTTTGATCAGTAGGGTAAGAATGCTTTGATCTTTAGTTTATTCATAACTATGTCACCAACTAGGGGTAATGTTTTGATTGGTCAAACACTTTTGGTACTTGTGCATATAAGCTTGCAAATATGGATAATTTTTCATTCTTGATGATGACATAATTAATGTCGAAATATTGAATCCCGACACGATGGCGTGCATTTTCGTTACTTGGAGTATGTATTATACTATCTTATACCATAACAACATACTGTAATTTTAAAAATATAATTTAATAATCACAATTTATAAATATTCTTCATTTTGGTAGTCCTATTACCGGCTAATACCATTGCTATAACCAAACATTCCGCCGGAGTAAGAAAGCAGATGAAAAACTCCCTAGAGAAAATTGTCTGGAAGACCCCCTATACACTATATATTTGTGGACGCTACCGAACAAAGAATCATGGTTCAGTAACCAAAAACTGCATTACCGAAAAGTGATGCACTACAGTGAAACATTAAATTACTTACAGGTGGAAAAGTAGGCTACTACTTCACATATAAATGATACAATAACCCATACTATCAAAAATAGTGTTAAAAGCAAGTAGTGTAGCTTTTAAAAGCGTTAGGCCTACATCGTGATTATATAATGTGCTACGTATGGTATACAGTAATGAACGTCACAAAAGGGAATAAAATAAAAAAACTCCTTAGAGAAAATTCTCTGGAAAGACCCCTATACGTTCTAGCATGGTGGTAATTGAATACTGTACTAGTAGTATGCCATCGAAATACTTTGTATTCATCGAAATACTTTGACAGCAACAACAAAGCAACTGATAAAAACCATAATGTTCAAAAAGTTAAGTCAGCCAGCAAAAAGACTCGACCATTTTTTTTTATGAAAGACACCGACTTTTTAGCAATATTAGAGCCAGATTCAAGTCATACATTTTCAATTCGCATTTGGTCGTTCTTTATTATTAATCTCTCCGTAGCCACAAATCCCTCCTTGGATCTGTGAATGGCTTTCTGACCTGTGTAGAACCGCTTATCAGCATCAGCTGATAAACGAATCTGTACCTGGATGTCAAAGCTGCAGACACGAAGATTCCAGTAGCAGAACATCCTCCTCCAGGTCCCTCGCAGAACTAGCAAACAATGGATAGTTTACGCTCAGAAATGGGCAGATGCAAAACAAACCTCAATAATTATAAGAAGCCCACAAATTAATGTGAATGATGTTCAATCGAACCACAGGGAATGGGTCACCTTCGAAGATGTCTATTGTTAACAGGGCCATGCAACAGAGAAGATTTCGCGAATCAAATTCTCCTTCTGTTCTAATAATGTTTCTAGATTCTCCTCCTTCTTTAGTCATTTACTCATCAAAACTGAACATTATTTTGTACACTACGCTAACATTCCCGAATGAAATTGACGTTGCTTAAGTACTATCATTATTGCTTACCAATCTAAGTTTTAGGTTGGACTAAACGCTTTTAGTCATAATAATCGGATTAGCATAATAGTAGATTCAGTCTTGGCGCTGTTCGTGGTAATACCCGTAGTCTTACCGTTCCATGAGTATTTATTGTTGTTTTCATCCCTAGATTATGATGAATGTCTAATTCAAAATGGCGGATGTCAACAGACTTGCATCAATACACCTGGGAGTTGGAAGTGTGAGTGCGATGACTCTTCTTATCTTCTGCCTGACGCACGGTCCTGTGGAGGTTAGTAATAAAGTATTATATTATATTATACTACTGTACTTGACTCCCCTTTCCCTTCAACCAAGGAATATTTTACGAGGTCGTCATTGAAGGCAATGGGTTGAAAGATCGGAACAGTTTTCGTCGACATGTTGTGCAATATGTCTCGTTGTTGTCACCTGACGACACATTAGTTGTCCGGCTCTTCCAGTTCCATATTTAGATATCACCTTATTTGGCCGTGTCCTACAATATACATAGGTCTAGGGCAACATAAGAATATTGTTAAAATTAAAGAGAAAACACATGTAAGCATACTCGATAATAAAAAATACAATTTTAGATATTTTTAATTTGTGAACTTTAGAGTTTGGACTTTCAAAAATATAGTTATATGTACTTGGGAAAAACATTCATCATACAGAAAAACTAAACCAACCTTATCCCGTCGAACATTCTGTTTGTCGACTTTAGAGACATATGTTAATTTCTGTCATTTTGTAAAATTTCAGTTATCACTTCTTGCGATATAAAGAATGGAGGGTGTGCGCATATATGCAAGATCGACCAACGTGGTCTTGCGTGCAGCTGTCGAAACGGTTACGTAATCAGCGAAGATTTGGCTCAATGTGACGGTATACTATTACTTTAAAGAACATCTTTCCAAATGATGATGATGATGATGATGACGGTGGTGATGACGATGATGATAATAATAATAATAATAATACACATTTTTAAAGCGCCTATTAAAGCAAACAAAACTGGCTTGTCACCGGCGCTGGAGGATGTTAGAAAGAAGTTGAACTATTTGAAGAGGAATGATTTAAGAGTAGATTTGAATAATTGCGGATCAGAAATGATACGTAATTGCTATGACTAAGAAAATACAAGAAATTCAACCGAACAATTATGACCATGCACGATTGTACTACAGGTTCCTGCACCACTTAAAAGCATGATGATGTGGTGGTTATTATTTCAAAAGTTATGATTTTGTTTCAGCAACCTGTAACCCTCCTTGCGCACACGGTGGACAATGCATGCGCAACAACATGTGTAGGTGCATTAACGGATACTCTGGGGCTTGGTGCCAACAACGTAAGCCTTCGGTTTCATTTTTTAGGGTTAGATTAATTCAAGCTTTCACAAAAGGACTGCGATTGGCAGTTATGCAGCATGTAACATTTATTCACACTATTGATTATTATGTGATTGTATTATAACCAGGTCAGTCTGGTTCATTTTAAGCTAACAATCTGGACACTTTTAAATTTGTTCCCACGTGAGATTGAAGTCCCAGATAGAGATCCAGAGCAAAGAGTTTTATATCAGTTATTACGGGAAATGCTAGTCAGTTTTTACCGACATTCGGTTAAGTGCTTACCGTGACGCAGTGATGCAGACAACATACACCTGATGAAAAGTGTGGTTAACCAGCTACGATCCAGATAAGAGGAACGACTGACCAGCTAATCACTGTTGTTTCATGTCCTTTGTTCATTCAGTCCCTGTCGTTGTGGACAGACGAAAGTGCACCTCTTGTCAGCTCATTGGACAAGATGTGACCTATGGCTGTCTCTTATACACATCTAGATGTGTATAAGAGACAGACAATATACATAGGTCTAGGGCAACATAAGAATATTGTTAAAATTAAAGAGAAAAAAAAACATGTAAGCATACTCGATAATAAAAAATACAATTTTAAATATTTTTAATTTGTGAACTTTAGAGTTTGGACTTTCAAAAATATAATTATATGTACTTGGGAAAAACATTCATCATACAGAAAAACTAAACCAACCTTATCCCGTCGAACATTCTGTTTGTCGACTTTAGAGACATATGTTAATTTCTGTCATTTTGTAAAATTTTAGTTATCACTTCTTGCAATATAAAGAATGGAGGGTGTGCGCATATATGCAAGATCGACCAACGTGGTCTTGCGTGCAGCTGTCGAAACGGTTACGTAATCAGCGAAGATTTGGTTCAATGTGACGGTATACTATTACTTTAAAGAACATCTTTCCAAATGATGATGATGATGATGATGATGATGATGATGATGATGATGATGATGATGATGATGATGATGATGATGCTGATGACGGTGGTGATGATGATGATGATCTATGATGATAATAATCATAATGATAATCATGATAACGATGATAAATATAATGTTAATCATGAGAATGATTTTGCATCAATACTATTATGATGATGAAGATGATTAATTGGATAAAAACAATGGAGACGGATTTAATGGTATTGATGATGATGATTATGATGCTGATGTTGGTGATGATAAGAAGATGATTACGGCGCGGTGATGATGATAATGCTAATGACGATCTTGACAATGTTCATGATAATCATGATAACGAAAATAATGATGATAACGTTTATTATGCTGCATGGTATTAATTTAAACATTTTGATTATATCATACGCAGATTTCAACGAATGCGCAGACGCGAATGGTGGATGTGAGCAGAATTGCATTAATTCTATAGGCAGCTACAAATGCACGTGCAACGCTGGGTACAGGGTGAATTCCTTTTTGGATCACGAATGTGAAGGTCAGAAAGGCATTGTCAAGAATTCGCCAATTTATTCTGTTTTCCGTTGAGAAACTGTTTTTTTACATTATACTCTTGTAAGATGAAAATTTGGCCAGATAGTTTGGTACTCATTTCATGGAAGCAAACAGGCAACAGATTTCCCCATACCATTTTCAGTACATTCCCTAAAATTATATAATTCGACTTAAAACTGATTTCACTCTTTAAGCCACTAAGAAGACAATATCCTAAAGATGAATGTGTGCACAAAAACTGCCTTACATAAGTTAACACACTGTCTTTTGTAGAGGATGGTGCCGTTTATACGTCGGTAATTTGTACATTATGTCCTGCAGTTTACAGTCAACTCACCAACCAACCTTTTGTAGACCGAAATTTAAACATAATAAAGGAAAAGTATCAATAAAAAAAAATGATGGTTAATTTCCAGTGACGTGTTCTCCTCCGTGTATGAACGATGGGATTTGTTCAGGACCTAACCGTTGCACTTGTAAACCAGGCTACGCTGGAGACACGTGCGCAACACGTAAGTTTATATCATTTGGTACTTGCTGAAACCGGCAATAGGTTCAAGAATATAAAGGAGTCCGCATTCTTTTCCTTAGGCCTACATCAAAACCTTATAGTCAGATAAATCAATGACTAAGAAAATACAAGAAATTCAACCGAACAATTATGACCATGCACGATTGTACTACAGTATATGCAATAGGTTCCTGCACCACTTAAAAGCATGATGATGTGGTGGTTATTATTTCAAAAGTTATGATTTTGTTTCAGCAACCTGTAACCCTCCTTGCGCACACGGTGGACAATGCATGCGCAACAACATGTGTAGGTGCATCAACGGATACTCTGGGGCTTGGTGCCAACAACGTAAGCCTTCGGTTTCATTTTTTAGGGTTAGATTAATTCAAGCTTTCACAAAAGGACTGCGATTGGCAGTTATGCAGCATGTAACATTTATTCACACTATTGATTATTATGTGATTGTATTATAACCAGGTCAGTCTGGTTCATTTTAAGCTAACAATCTGGACACTTTTAAATTTGTTCCCACGTGAGATTGAAGTCCCAGATAGAGATCCAGAGCAAAGAGTTTTATATCAGTTATTACGGGAAATGCTAGTCAGTTTTTACCGACATTCGGTTAAGTGCTTACCGTGACGCAGTGATGCAGACAACATACACCTGATGAAAAGTGTGGTTAACCAGCTACGATCCAGATAAGAGGAACGACTGACCAGCTAATCACTGTTGTTTCATGTCCTTTGTTCATTCAGTCCCTGTCGTTGTGGACAGACGAAAGTGCACCTCTTGTCAGCTCATTGGACAAGATGTGACCTATGGGGAGAAGAAAGTTGTTGAATTAGTTAATCCTAACCTGTGCGCATGTCAGCCTAGTTAAAGCTGCAAGTCACAGGTTATTTCCTACCTTTACCTTTATTACCATTGCGTTTTCAATGAGAGGTGTATGCGTCTAAAACTCGTCTAAATTACCTAGTGTGAACAAAACTTCAGATTAAAAAACGTCTTCACGGCTACAAACCTTGATTCATTAGAAATCAGCTAATGCTTTTATAGAGTTTTATAGACCTACACAAATATAAATGTTCATTTACATCACTTTTTTGGAAGTAGTACTGTAACTAATGAAACATATTTCCATTTATTTCCAACAGCTGTTTGTCAAACCGCATGTCGAAATGGCGGAGTCTGTGTCAGCCCAAACACATGCCAATGTCCATCTGAGTACACAGGAACCTTTTGTCAAACTCGTAAGTAGAGTAACTGGCAAGCAGTTTGTGTAGGCCTGGTAATTATAATTTGGTTAATGCTGCTAAGAGACCTACAAATAACCTAAAATAAAAGACTACTTGGACAGAAAACCACCACTGTTTTGGGCTCAAGTAAAGCTTTGGTGTGGATATGAATACCTTGGTGGTTAAAATGCTTGCTTCCCAATCCCAGGGTCCTGGTTCAATTCCTGTCAGTGTTGCAGGATTTTTTTCTCACGACCAAAACAACTCCACTCCCTAAACCACATATTGAGATTTAGTTTGTGTAAAACATTGTGTGTGTATGACTGTCTTGTGAAATGAATTGTCACCTACAAGTATAGGACAGTGATATAACTCTTCTATTGACAATCATTGGTGCATGTGGTGTGTGTCAAATAAATAAATAAACTTACGTTGTCAATATCATAATGATCATTTGCTATATATTAGCTTTGTACATGACCCGGCAACAAGCATCCAATATAGTATGTCAAAGATCACACAGCCCTACGTTTGTAAAATAGTTAATTTAATGAATAAATAAGTACGGTACCATTTGGAGACAATTATATTTCGTTTTATTTTCTATGCCAATTACATATCAATCGAAATCATTCTATAGACTAACTTTCAAATGTTTATCTATGTTTATCTAGCTGCGTGTATACCTAGTTGCCAGAACAACGGAATTTGTTACAACGACAACAACTGCATATGTCGCACCGGATTCACAGGAACTCGCTGTCAGTCTGGTATGTGTTCTTTGACTTAATTTAGATTATTATAAATATTATTATATTTTTCTTATCTCAGATTCAAGATTCACTTGATGTATATTTCAAGATAACACATTTACAAAATGTTTCAATATAATATTCGTCATAGTAAAAATATAATTATAATAATTATTTAAGTATATACAAATAATTATATATACCTAATATAATGCCATCGGAATAGAAGTTGAACCTAAGCGGTAGCCTACACTTTCAGATGGAAGGGAGGGGGTACCAAATAGATTGCTGTTTGTACACTTAGGAAAATGATGATAATTGTGAACGACCCCTTAGGTACATTGTGGTTGGTTTTAAAAGAACAATTTATTTTGGATAGGCGAAGTAACAGCGTGTAAACCAACATGCCGGCACATGGGAGTATGTATTCCGGGCAACAAATGCGAATGTCCGGTGGGAACTAAAGGACACAGATGTGAAATCAGGTAGGCCTGTAACATTGATGGTAATGTATTATTATTATTATTACTATTATTATTATTATTATTATTATTAGTTGATGATGTGTGGTGGTGAGGACGACGGTTTATATTAAATGAAAAGATAAACCTTTATTTATATATTTGGTTGTTTATTTTCGTTTTAGAACGTGCCCGATTCAGACGTATCAGCAAAGTGTGATACAGTTTAAACGTGTATATAAACTTGAGAGTTATCAAGGACCATGCGGACCATTCGGCTTCAGAATTTGCACTCAATATAAGTATGATTGTTTTTTTTTAAATAATAATATAATAATAATTTATAGTGTTTTTTTTCTACTGCGACTACGTACCGTTGTCCATCATATACTCAGTTGAATTCGACCTTTGGCCTGTTAGAGATTATTCGTCCACTTTTTCAAAAACTCATTCAAACGAGAGTTCTTATATAGACAATTCAAACAACTGTTATACGCCCTCTGTCAGTGTAACCCTGAGCATGTATACTCTAGAGGTCGCTCAGCTGGTATTACAAAAGTAACTTATTTGGTCTGTTACTGAGCAATTTAAGTGTTTTAATGTTTACAAATTGTACCATAGATAGTATCTATAATGGTTGTAGACTATTTATTGTTTTGGTTACCAGCAACATCAATATTCAAATTTGTTTTTATTAATTGCATTTAATAATAGTTCATGCCATACATACATCCACAAAATATAAACTTTTGGTCATGATTATTATGAGGTTAATTTTAATACATATTTTTGTAGGTGTTCGATGAGTTCAGTCTTACAATAATATTTTTGTAATGAGTGCAATATAGATAATTTAATTGAAGAACGATTGTCTGATTGACTGATAGTATCTATAATGGTTGTAGACTATTTATTGTTTTGGTTACCAGCAACATCAATATTCAAATTTGTTTTTATTAATTGCATTTAATAATAGTTCATGCCATACATACATCGACAGATTATACACTTTTGGTCATGATTATTATGAGGTTATTATTGATTCACATTTTTATAGGTGTTCGAGGAGTTCAGTCTTACAATAATATTTTTGTAATGAGTGCAATATAGATAATTTAATTGAAGAACGATTGACTGATTGACTTATTGAGGGTTTAAGATAACTTATTAATTGGGTCGATTGAATGATTGATCGATTTAATGATTGATTAATGATTGATTTCATTTCATATATTTCATTTCATTGATTGTTAAATTAATTGAATTAGGCGATTTTTAATAGATCGATCTATCGAATTGTTGCTTGCTTAATTGATTACATTGAGTTACTTATACACTGTTGAATTTCTAGACTAATTCAGTGTAATTTTCATTTTTTTCCCGAAGGATTACAAGTAAGCCTGTCGAAGTGACAACCTATCGCTCAGGATACCGTATTGGTTGTGCCGATTTGTAGACTTCTGCTAAATTTAATTACAGTAAACTTACAAACTGAAATTGAAACGTCCTGAAGTAACAATTGGCCTCCTAATTTCAACATTGCCCGATAATGTACACACCTTGTTCGTATACACATTAAATTAATATAACAATATTGTGGGTCAAAGTGTATGATCCTTAGCTATTCACATCCAAACCTTTAATTGGAGATTATGAATCGGAAAACTAAATTTTTATCTCACTTATTTATGCACCAAACTCGTCTCGTTTATGTATTGGCCTTTATACTTGTGTCTATACTATTAACAAAGGGTACCGGTATACGGTATTGGGAAATAAAAGTTTTTGTTGCGATTATGATTTTTACTGAAGGTAAAGGAAATTATAATAAGAATTGCATTATTGACCTAATAGTAGCTTTCTGTACTGATCGACAATTGCATATAATCAATATTCATTTCATGCTATTGTTCTCTGTGTCTTTTGTCAAAGAAACAAAGCTTTTAAATTTTTAATTATTATTTAATGTAGACATTTCTATTTGAAATGCGGAAAAAATTGGTCTACACAGCAAACACAATTTAGAATAAGTCTCCTCTTCGTTTTCTCTCATCTACTATTTTGCTTCTAAATAAAGAAGATTCTATAAACACTGTTGCAATTTTTATATGTCTTTTCTTTTTTGGGGTTTTTTTTGTTAGCGTTAAAAGTGTAACATTAGCCTAAACCCCTATTCCCGCAGAGCAACGTAAAGAAGAGCGATCGCTCACCGGTCTGGTTACTATTTAGAACGTTTATTTGTACAAAATTAAAATAGGCCTATCTTAAAATTGAAAAAAAAAATGAATTTATAGGTTGCGTGCAAGATGGTAGTGCCAGATCTTCCCTGACGGGGGGCTGGTACCTCCATCAGGGGTATTTTAACTTGCATGGTTTTCTATTAAATTATCCTTATTAAAAATTCGAAAGATTTTTAGTGACGTCCGGCCACGCCCACTTTGCTTTCGTGGGGTATCATGCCCTACCCCCGTCGGGGAGTTGCCGCCCCCACCCTCGTCGGACAAACCCTAGCCTTACCTTTAATCTAATCAATTTTTAAAGTCTTAAAAAATATATAGAATTAATTAATGTTTGTTTTCCCAACTGATTGTGGTTTCCCCAGCACTATTTTTGGAAATACCAGTTGGTGGGCCAATTCAATTGAAAAACCAGTTGAACCAGTTCATCCAGTTGAGTAAACCAGTTCCAATTGAAAAACCAGTTGGACCAGTTCAATCATATCTTTATCCATTCTTTATTCAAATAATAGCATCACGTAAACAATGATGGACAATACATAGGCCTAATAGCTATAAATTATTTAACATTTAAAGAATATTTACAATTTACATTAATAATGGAAAAAAGTGAATACAAAGTTAAATAATTAAAGTTAATCATTAAAGTAAATTTAAAATCAACCTTAATAAAGGACAAAATTTGCAAAAAGCACAAAGAGACCAATTAAATTTAAAAATGCAAAAACAAGTTAAAAACATTTAAAATTCAATAAAATTACCAGATATAAAAAATGACAGCACAACAAAAGAATCACATTAATTACAAAAAGGAATTTACGGAAAAACATGATACCATATTTAGCAGCCATAAGGATACCTGGTGCCCTTTAGTGTAACATCCAGTTATATACCAGTTTTTACCAGTCATTAAAGACTCCTTGGAAAGTAATAAACTTTTTTATTCGTTGCATTTTAACTTTAGGAAGAGTAAACTGTCTGGTGTGACGGAGTTGAAAATTGTGAGAAGAGGGATCAGGTATACAATGCAATCTATGAACAGGAGATTTAAGTTTCTTGAAATATTTAATGGTCAATTCGTTACGGCGTTCGGAAAGTTATTTAATATTAAAATATTTGCAGGTATCAGTAAACGAAAGATTTCTGATCCATTTACAGTGATTGGGTCAAATTCGGTTGGGGCCCTCATGCATGTGATACACAGCTCAACCGATTTTTTCTCATTCAGTTTCATGCCATCATCTTCACACCATTTTGATATGGAATTTATGTTATCTTGAACTTTGCAAACTGTTTTTATTTAGTGGTAAAAGGTGGTATCATCCATATACTTCATACCCATGACCCCTGGGGTATACCTCCGCTTGATGCGAACCATGATGAGAAAGTATCCTTTTATTTCACCCTATGTTTCCTGCCTGTAAGGTACGCTTGAGTCCATGTCACAAGGGCTCGGTCAATGTTCATATTAATTAAATTCCTAATTAACAATCGATGATCAATCATATCATATGCTTTACTAAAATCCAATAGAAGAGCACGAACTTCTTCCCCTTTATCAATAGCCACATGCCAAAAGTGTGATATTGAGATAAGAGCATCAGTTGTGGAGGTGCCCTTAGTACTCCTAGATTGGTTATTCGCTAACCCGTCCTTCATTTGGTCCCACAAGAAACCACCAATTAAGCTCACAACTACCTTGGATGCCACTGAAATTAAAGAAATAGGACGTAAATCTGTTTCGATACAGCGTGGGGGATTTAACTTCGGTATTGGCACTATCTATATTCGGCCTCTTCCATCCATCAGGGATGTATGAATCTCTGAGGCTGGAATTGGCAATTGCGCAAAGAGGTCCGGCAAGGATATGCGATGCATCACGAAGAAGACCAGGATCAGTTCAACCAGTTTGAGAAACCAATTGGGCCCAGTTGAAAACCAATTGGACCAGTTGAAAACCAGTTGGGCCAGTTGAAAAACAATTGGACCAGTTGGAATTTTCAACTGGATTTTTTACCTGGGACGAAAAACATGAACAAGAAGAACAGCAGTGAGGATCTGGGATCAGCGCATTGCGCGGACCTAAAAATGTCACATTATGCTTTCAAAGTGATGATATCTATGATAAACCATGTTAAAGTCAGGCTCCGGAGGTAGGCCTAAAACAATTTTGATAAGTTGTAGAACTGATTTGACTAAGACACAAAAAGCTTATTTGATGAAAAACTCAGAGAAGCGGTTTAATAAGACAGATTTTTAAATATTAAAAAATGGAGGAAATGGCGAAAAGGGGGATGGTTTAAATATTAACAAATCTATAGGCTTATCTTACGAATCGAT